CAAGACTTAAAAAATGATTTTAAACCATTTTCACGTATGCACTCCTGACATTCTCTAGAGAATTGGACGGCCCGTCTATAAAATCTTCAGGAGATGCTTTTTAACATGTTCCTCAAGTTTTCCTTGTCTCAGGAGTTAAGTCATGATGAGAAAGAACAGGCCAAGCAACAGAGTAAGACACCATCAGTATATCAATGCTACCTGTAATATGACATTCACAGAGGAACAGTGACGAGTATCAACCTTTGTGTGTATAGTGTCAATTCATAAGTTTTACTCGAGAGCAGGTAAAGAGCCCATAGTCACTGTTATGTTACAAAAAGCAGCTAAAAGACCTTATAAATTGCTCAATCCATCATGAGTGTAGCACTTGTCGGTAAGCAACATTTAGCAAAAGTTAGTGAGAGTACATAAAGAAGCAGTTTCATTTCATGTGCACAATTACACTGCATGCAGAATAAAAACCTCTCCCTCACCTGTGAATTTTTACATTATCTGTTTTGCTAACACCAAGCTGCAACCTCCAGGGTTAAAACATGAAGCCAATGTGGAAGTGAAAATCCACACCTTTTATGATTGACTGCTTATTTCCTCTGAAAATGAATTTGGGCAAGAACATGCAGCAGGGGGACATTTCTTCTACACAACCATTTTAGAATTTTTTTTTTACAGTGGATGAGCTCTCCATGTCCCTGCATTTGACTCGATTTGACTCAGCAATATAAGACTCAGACTCCAAAAACAAGTTTCTGAATCTTAATCAATTATTTTCAGGCCAATATTCAGTTGAAGCTCTCATTAGAGCTTCAGGACACAGTTTCAACACACAAACATGTATACCAAACCGTATAACAGTGCTTCATATCAACGACGAACACATTATAACATAACCATTTTCAAAAGGAGACGTTTTCGTCAGCCTCCTCGCACGGTGAGTGGGCGAAACCGAACCACGTCCTTGTGAGTGGAGTTCTCGTCAGCATTAAGATAAGATAATCCTTTATTTATCCCACAATGGGGGAAATTTACATTGTCACAGCAGAAAAGAGCAAAGATTGCAGACAAAAAGTGAACACAGTACAATTTAAATTAAAAAAGAAAAAGCAGCAGGAAGACATTGAGACGAGCTCTATCTTCATTTGACTGCTGATGATTGGTTTGAGCTCAGGCGCAGCCTAAAAGTTGTTCATCTGGGAGATGAAGAAGAACACAGACACAAGCTGATGCTGAAGATACTGAGGCAGCTCCTGGATACTGCAGGTCAAAGACATCCAGAACCAGACCCGATGATCTGTTGAGTGGAGGACAGGGTTAACATTTAGACAATCTTTAACTTACAAAATATATATTTTAGAACCTCTTATGAAGCCAGTAATTGTCTGATTAACAACTGATCTGAGCTGTATTTATTCACTGTTTTCAGTTAATGGAGATAATTATCACATATTGGTTCGGCTGTGAGGTAGCCAGCCAGAAGGAAAGAATGTTATATTTCCTAAACTGCCTGTTAATTCAAATATCTGTGGCATTAAACTTATGCATAGTCCAGTACCTAAAAGTAGAGTAAGCAATGTATTTAACACTTTTTTTGTCATACTAACCAACAACTCCTTATTTGTATCTATTGTGGCCAGTGAACTTCTTTTTTTGAATTATTTATTTTGGGGCTTTTTGTGCCTTTATTGTAGGGATAGGACAGTGGATAGAGTTGGAAATCAGGGGGAGAGAGAGTGGGGAATGACATGCGGGAAAGGAGCCACAGGTCGGATTCCAGCCTGGGCCGCCCGCTTGGAGGACTACAGCCTCCATACATTGGGCGCTAGCTAACCACTATGCTACCTACGCCCCGGCTTACCACTTCTATCTGTTTTATCCATCTCTCTTTTCAAGAAAAGTCGAACATTTCCTATTGATTTGTTCTCACAGCACACCTGAACAGTTTGAATCGTGCAGCCCACCATGTGGTAGGTCCTCCTGCACAGCCTGGCCGTGAGTCAAAGAAGGCGGGCACTAGAACTTCTTCTGAGTGTGGCCATCTCAAAACCTTCCTTTACTTCTGCAAAAAAGGCACCAAGAGATAGACATTATTTTGGGTGATGATAAGAGATGTTTTGCTTTGAATGTTTGACTTTCCCTCAGTATCGATAAAGCGTCTATGTATCTAGCCGTTTCACTCCATAACTTCTGTCTTCTTAAGAGAGAGGAAGCACACGGTCCCATCAGAGGCTGAGTCCAAACCCAATCCTCCAACACTGACGGCTGAGTGGCTGCTCATGCTCCATCCTACCCAGCAGCCATGTGACAGCGAGCTGCACACAGCCCACAGTGCCATTAGCTGCAACGCTCACATCCTGGATCTCATTCATCTTGGTTCTGGCAGCAGCAACAACCTGTGAAAACTGACAAACAACAAGAGAGGTGGTTGCTGCTTCTTTCTCCCGCATCAGGAGGTTTGTACAAGTTGTGTAACTCGTGATGATTTATAAGACAAAGAAGAAAGGTTCACCTGCTCTGTTGGTGCATGAAGCACTAGGAAAAGTAGCCAGCCAAGACTTTTACATGCAGCATTATTTGCAATGTGGAAACTGTGGAAATAATAGTTGTTTGCAGTCCTCATTTAGCAGGGATTTGAACTTACTTATCATCAGAACCATTTTTGTCCAAACCGGAAAGAGTCACCTACACGTACAAAAGATAATACAAAACAAGCCAATGAAAAATATATCAGGATGTTACTTTGAAGCACATTTTTCATTCTTTCAAGAACATTATTGCTTTGTAACATCATGTATAAACCTGTTGCTTCTTTCCCTTTTATACAATTATAATTAATATTCATTCTAACTTGTAGTTAGTAGAAAAACTTGTGGAAAAGATTACATTTGGCCCTATAGGACATTGCATTGTGTCAGCTTCTGCCTTTTTGAAACATACATTTATCTCAAAATGGAAAGAACTGACTGGTAATACATTTTGTTTGCAACTCTACTGTAACACTTGAACGCTTCAATCGCACGTTCACAACTATGTTTCAAAGTATGTCATAAACTTAAGTAGTGAGTAATACAACCTACAATGTTGGCCTGTCAGTGCTCACTGTGGGGCTCCAGTTTAATGATGACAGGCGTCACTCTGACACAGGCTGCTGAGCTTATAGCTGTCACACTGCACAGCACATCACACACAGACCTCAGTTTAGGATGGCTGCATTTAGTGTCAGTGTACAACACTGACAGTCTGCTAGAAGCTGAGGAAACCAGGGGCAGGTAAGCCTGGCAGCTCTGAAACTTAAGTAACTCCACAGCAGAGACAAAAAGGGTTACAGGACCGGCTGTCAATGAAAAGATTGAGAACATGTTAAGAGGTAGGCCCAGGTCTATTTAATACAACTAAAACAAATAGACTTATATTGAACCAGTTATTACTCTAATGTTGTTAAGACGATGGAAGTGATGTTACATGTGAATCTAACTTTATTTGCACTCCCCTGGTTGTTGTTCTCTCCTCAAATGAAAGCTGTCACTCACGTAATTGACGTAGGAAGTCAATTAGCGCTCACCTGCCAACGACGATGTTCAAAAGCTCGACTGTTCTCGCGATATGTGTTAACGTGATGCTAAACGGTATTCTTTTTATTTTCTTCTTAATTTTAGTTGGTTAAACTAATCTTGAAATAAACACCAGAGACGCTATTATTATTTCTTTCAACATGAAAAAAAAGTTTTAATTATGTTTTTTTTAGTTATGCTCTCAATTAAATTTGAATTGATGGTTGCCTAAGTGTTTTTCAGTAGAACATTTTTTTTTTATAATCAGTTTCACATAACTTCAATGTGTTATATCATGATTGAGAGGCTGACTGTGTTGGTGAACGTTTGGACATCATCAACGTTCAAATGTCAGAATCAAATTTGGATCATCTTGTCCAACACATCAAAGGTGATGACGCTGTGAGCAGGATTTGAACCTGCGCGGGAATATCCCATTGGATTTCGAATCCAACGCCTTAACCACTCGGCCATCACAGCTCTGCCAATCACTCATATTGACACAGAGAGATTGAAAAATAATAAATTAATGATCAATAAATACATTTGATAGGCTTAGTAGGCTATTTATTAAAAAAGATTACACAATGTATCAATATGTAAATAGGATAATGTTTCTATCTGTTTGTGAGGGCTATCTGTTGAGGTAACTTGTCTATCTTTGCATGTAAATCTTAGCAGGCCCAATGTGGATGCCTTGCTTTAGTTTTGAATTGTGTCTCTTTTTGTGCATGTGATCTGGCATCCACGACGGACTGTAAATAAGTAGTAGTTTTTCTGCTCTTTTGCTCTGCAGAATCGACGCCACAGAATAGTTATGGAGCCTGTGTGATGGATTACCGAGGCTCTTGTTTACCAACAGGTCTGTATGCTGCTGAGGGTCTACAGAGGGGCGGAGGCGTGTAGATCCGATAAACACTCTCTCTTGAAGTGGCAATGATGATTAACACCCACAGCTCACTGCAGCTGCACTGCACTCACACTGTGCAATTACAGTGACACTGAGTGCTGTAATCAGCAGGTCCCCTATGTGAGAGATTAAGTTCGTGAAATAACAAAGGCACAGACGCACCCAGCTCAGGGTCTGCATATTGATGAGCTCTGAGGTGATTTTCCGTTATAGAGGACGTTTACAGCGATGTTAAAGCTCCTGCACAAACACAAGGCTGGGGGAAAACACGCTCTGAGCCACGAGGGGTCTGTCCATGGTGCTGATGCTGCTGTCGTGTCTGACTGCAGCTGCGTTGTACTGCACAAAACGTGCCCACCAAACGTTTCGACTTCAATGTATCGGCATGCGTCAGTGACGTCAGCTCCAAGACTTTGGCGTGGCAGCGGCAGTCACAGGGTTTGGGACTGCTGCCCGAATTAAAAAAAAAAAAAAAAAAAAAATGAAAAGACACAAGAGAAGCACGTGTAGTGGGTGGTCCTCAACAGACTGCTTTCACGTGGCTCTAGCGAGCTCAGAGCTCGAGCCAAACCTCCTCTCCGTCAGTCCGGTGCAGCAACATCAGGAGACAACATCACCATGGCAGCAGATATGGAGCCCTCGGAGTAAGTGTGCTTTTATTTTATTTTTTTTTTTGGGGGGGGGTTTCAATGTTAATAAGTAAGTTTTAAGTTATAGTTTAGTGATGATAACTTTGTTTTTTGTATCCTACTATGACAACACGTGTGTCTTCACTAAAGAAAACAAAACACCTTTATTGATAAGGAAAAGATCAAGTTTGTAAGTTTTGAAATTATGCATCCATCTGCAAGATTGTAGAGCGCTGTTATTTTCTCAAAGCTTGGGGATATTTCCTGTGGTTAAAACTTTCTTCTTATTATAGTCTACAATGTGATTCAATATATTTGAATTTTACACGTGTGCTATTTTTAGGCTGTGTTTTAATAAAGACATAATCTACAACATAGAAATCTATCTTGTTCTGTCGTTTTCTATGACGCATTCTGTTTATTTTTTTTGTGTGCATTGTGCACCCATGTGATGTTTGTTTTATGGGTCTTGTTTTTTTTTAATCCCATCCCATCCAGTCACAGAAACCTCTTTTATTTAAAGATGTAATGTAGTCTGCATATTGTATATTTCCCCCGTGACTCTGCTTTAATAATCACTTTGAGCCGTTTGATCTGATGTCCTTGCTCATGATGCTGAGAGAGGGGCGGGTCCAGTCTCAGTACATTGTGTGCATTTCATCCACATGTGCCTGTTGAACTAATACGCCCTCCACCCCCTGGCAAAACATGGGTGTGCTTTCCTTATTGGCCAGTATTCAGACTTAATGTGGTGGTGGGGATCAAGCGCACACAATTTGCATTTAAAGTCAATCTAGAATAGGGAGGGGAAAAAAAAGGAGGGAATTTGGCGTGCAAACTTTCTCATATTAAAATAGGCGGGCTGTGTTAATCCACACTCCAGACGATGCCACTGAAGCGTGTCTCTGCAGAAAAGTGCACGTGAAGGAGGAACAAAACTTCCTGCATCATGATGCTGCTGACGAAGTGACAACAGCAGCAGGGTGGATGTGATGAAAATGGAAAGCTGTGAAAATGCTCAGCAGATGGCTTTCAAAGCGTGACAAAGCTCCACATGCAGCAGTATCCCTGCTCACGTCTTGTTTTGACAGGAACAGCTCACACGTTTTTCTGTTGACACTTGAGTCAGAGGATCCATGTCTAAATGTGTGAAAGCATCTGAGAATAAAAACAACAGCTTCAGTGTTCGGTTCTGCAATGTGACAGAAGTAAAAAAAAAAAAAAAACAAGATAAACCAGAAAAGAAGAGCATCATGTACAAATACAGAACAGCTTTGACAGAGAAGTGTCATGTGGAAGTAACATGAATCTTTGTCTTCCAGTGTGATCCGTCTGATCATGCAGTACCTGAAGGAGAACAACCTCTACAGAACACTGAACACCTTGCAGGAGGAGACCACCGTGTCTCTGAACACGGTGGAGAGCATCGACAGTTTCATCGCAGACATAAAGAGCGGCCACTGGGACTCGGTGCTGCTGGCCATCGAGTCCCTCAAGTTACCTGACAACATTCTCATTGACCTCTACGAGCAGGTGAGCACCCTACGTAGATCAGCTGATACTTTCCCAGGCTGCAATCTTTGAATCAGCTTCTAAACGCGGGTCTCTCCTCAACAGGTTGTGATGGAGCTGATTGAAATGAGGGAGGTGGGTGCAGCTCGCTCGCTCCTCAGGCAAACCGACCCCATGATCATGCTGAAGCAAACTCAACCAGGGAGGTACCTCCACCTGGAGAACCTGCTCAAATGCTCCTGCTTTGACCCTCGGGAGGTAAGACAGTAAAGGTTACTACTTTTACAAAAGGTTTCCCACGACGTGTTTTATGGTTCTACCCTTCTTTCTGTCTTCTACAGGCGTACCCTAAAGGCAGCAACAAGGAGAAGCGGCGCAGGGCGATAGCCGAGTCTATGGTTCAGGAGGTCAGCGTGGTGCCTCCTTCTCGCCTCATGGGACTCCTCGACCAAATCGGAGTGAGTAATCTGATCACGATCGATAGCTCCCATAGTGCTTAAGATAATTATATAACAAGGCAAGCCAATACATCTATTAAGCTCCCTTTATATAAAAAGGTTTCTTTTTTAATCTCAGCTTACAAAATAAGATAAGTAGCATAACAAATGGAAAAGCTGCCATTCAAACTGCAACAGAACCTACAGTCACATTTGATTTTGTAAGCCGACAATGGTCAAATTCAAAATTTGATGAAGGATTTCTGAGAATGCAGCATCGCACGTTCACAGTTAGTTTCTGAAGTTTTCATGCTGTAAATCCTTTCCTTCGTTCCCATCACGCATTTGCGCGGTGGGACAACCTTTCATGTTGACACTGACGGAGGGAAACAGCAGCATCTATATTAAAGTTTTGTGTCTCGTCCCTCTTCCTCACAGACTTTGAGACTGCAGCAGTCTCCTGACAGCTCCCCCGACTCCACCATCGACTCGCACGGAAAAAAGGAGAAAGAGAACTTTCCAACCCAGCTGTACCGACACATCAAGGTAGACCACCACGGACTCTGTTCTACAAAATTACTTCTTCTACCACAATCAGATACTATATATAGTTTACTACATACTATAGATGCATACTATATATATTTGTAGGCGGTACATGTGGGACTTTTGGACAAAAACTATAAATACATTTACTTTTCTATTATTATTGATGAGTCATCTCCAAAGATGGACCGTACACACACATGCGCACACACACACACACACACACGTGACTCTTTTTTTGACGCTCCTGAAGGCACTCCTCTAAGTCTCTGGCTGTGCCTTTATCACTGGCGTCCAGATGGAGCAGCATGACTTGCTTGTCCTTGCTGTCCTCTTACCAAGGTGATAAGAGGAACAGTCAGCATGCTGGAAAACCTTAAACCTCTCCTGAGGTTATCAGACATGAACTTGTTTTTTAATCTATTAGTACGTCAGGCTCTCAGGTAGCAAGCAAACCTAGCTCGGTATGTTTAGCTGCATCATACTGTGAAGGGCTGTTAATGAGGAGTTACCATGTGTGTCGTTGTAACCTGCAGTTTGGACGTCGGTCACATGTGGAGTGTGCGCGTTTCTCTCCTGATGGCAAGTACCTGTTCACCGGCTCAGTGGACGGGTTCATTGAGGTCTGGAACTATAGCACGGGAAAAATCAGCAAGGTTAGTCTGTTTAATATCAATACACTTCTTGAACTCTGTACATTTATAAAGCGTTGTTTAAACTTCATTTCAGATCTACCGTAGTTGGAAATTAGTAATCATAAAGGATATTCAACACGATATTTTGAGTGAAATAAAGATTATTCATTAATTTGATTTATTTCATCGTTTTTTTCTACTCTGTTTGTGTGTGTGTGTGTGTGTGTGTGTGTTTGCATGGATGAACCAGGATTTGAACTATCAGGCCCAGGATAGCTTCATGATGATGGACGACGCCGTGCTGTGTATGTGCTTCAGTCAGGACTCAGATCTTCTGGCGACTGGAGCTCAAAATGGCAAAATAAAGGTGAGATCTTCTAAAGAGTGTTTTCATTTATTGTAAAGTCTTGTTATCTCTGAAGGGACATCAAAAATGATGCCAAATGATGTCTAAATATTGAAAAAGCGATGAATCCGATTGGTTGTCTAATTACATCTTTGTGTTTTTTTGGGAAGGTATGGAAGATCCAGAGTGGCTTGTGTCTGCGCAGGTTTGAGCATGCTCACAACAAAGGCGTGACCTGTCTGAGCTTTTCCAAGGACAACAACCAGATCCTCAGCGCCTCCTTTAACCCGACCATCAGGTGGGACGTTACTCTATACAACAGACACACTGAAACGGACTCACATCCATAGTACTAAGTAACAGCACTCATAAAAACTCATATCAGAAAACTGTGAACATATAGTGCAAAGTAAATTCAGTCCAAGTCTAAAAAGGACTTGAAAAAGTTTAAAACTCAAATTCACTAGTTCTTGACCAATTGTTCAAAACAGAAACAACAATAAAACATGATGAGATCCTTCTTTTTTTTTTTTTTTTAAATGTCTGCAGCCAAACAAATCTTTGATTGTCTGCTGTGGGATGAAGCGAGAGTTCACACTGACCTCAGAAATGATTCACAAATGTTTCAAAAGCGTGAACATGTTTGTCAGTTCAGCTGGCAGGCAGAATAATTCTTTTTACATCCAACGTTGAATTGGCAAAATGTTGCTTCAATAAGCAACAGATGTGACAAATAGAAAAGAAAAGATGGGGAAAATACAAAAAAATAAACATTACAATGACTGATCATTTGATTTCATCCATTAACTTATAGCAGTGACAATATCTGTGTAGTCTTTGTTTTATTCCAAATGTATAGAGTACATTTTGAGTTGTGATATTTCTTGCAAATTGGGTTGTTCCATAAATGAATGACCAAATCATAAATGTACTTTATGATGATTATTTTAAATACATGTCATACCTGTATATATATATATATATATATATATTAGTATAATGTCTTGGATTTATTTATTTTTAATCAATGTTATTCTATAAGTAGAAAATCAGAATCAGAAATACTTTTTCATGCCATGGGGGAGGCACAGGTTGTTACAGTACACAATATAGCAGTAAGAAATGTAGGGACTTAAATATGAAAAGGAATAAAAACAAGAAATAGCAATAAGCACAAGAAATGTGGAGTATTCAAAGAATGAGGATGTTTAAGTAAACACAGAGAAATGAAGGGTAATGATGAGCTGCATTATCAAATTGATTGAAGCCGTTTTGATAATTATTGTTAATTGTTGATTGTCAATTTAGCGAGCAGTAAAGCCAGTTCAGATATTTTCAAACCTTTCAAAAGATCCACAATGCAATGCAGACGTCAGATTAAGCAGTCGGTAGCTGCATCACATGTTGCACCCGTGTTGAGCATCTGAATGTAAACAAGCTGGGGCGAGGGTGTCTTATCTTTTATTCTTCTCCCTCCGTCTCAAACACACGCACACACACAAAAAAAAACCAACAAAAAAAACCTGAGTCTCCTTCAGACTCGAGGAGTTGAACATCTATTTTTTGCCTGCAGGGGTGTGTGGGCTGAGCCTCCTCACTGGGATGGAAGCACATGTGCTGTGTGGGTGGAACTGGCAGACCATGTGCTCAGGCACAAAGCTGCAACGTGTTTCCTCCACTTACAATTCCACGAGCGTGCAGACCGAATTGTTTACATTCGCCAAAACCATCCTCCGGGAGACGGAGTGAATTACTGAGCATTAGACGTTTTGTCATGGTTAAGCTAATCTGCACCCAGACGCTCGACGCTGGAGCTAAAAATAAACCGAATCCAACTGCAGAGCAACACGTTTTGTCTGCTCGAGAGAGAGAGAGAAAGCCCCTTTGAGTTGAATAAAGATGGATTTGTTTATGAATCAGAGCTGCTGTTTTTTTTGTTTCATACATTGACTTTTGTTTTTTTTTGTGACAATCTTTGACTGTGAATGCTTTCAAAAAATGTCTTTACAGAATCCATGAGCTGAGGTCAGGGAAGACACTGAAGGAGTTAAACGGCCATTCATCGTTTGTAAATGATGCCTCTTTCACTCAAGACGGCTTACACATCATCAGTGCATCGTCTGATGGCACGGTTAAGGTACAATGAGGACATTATATATGACCCAAACTTCCAAGTCTGCGCTGCATCAACGTGGAGCTGAAAACGTTGTAATGCAATGAAATGTGTCACTAAGCAGATTCATTTTCTGTGCCCGTTTCAGATTTGGGATTCAAACTCCTGCGAGTGCATCGACACTTTTAAATGTCTGAACTCTGAAGTCCCTGTCAACAATGTGATTCCTCTCCCCCAAAACCCTGAGCACTTTGTGATCTGTAACCACTCCAACACGGTGGTCATCATGAACATGCAGGGTCAGGTGAGAGCTCGCCCTAACATATGCGAACCAAAGAGTATTTCATATCAAGACTGACTGTTTTCATGCGACTAGAAATCCGTCACAATTATTATATTCAAGCGTAAATGTCGGCTTCTCTTCCTCCTCAGACTGTGAAGACCTTCACCTCCGACAGAAAGGAGGGATCAGACTTTGTTTGTTGCACCCTGTCACCCCGAGGAGAGTGGATTTACTGTGTGGGAGAGGACTTAGTGCTGTACTGCTTCAACTATAAGACAGGGAGACTGCAGAAAACGCTGACCGTAAGCTCCAGTCCACACTTCTGAAATGTGATTTAGTAAGAAAAAAAATGTGCAGCCTCTGTTTTTGATTTCTTGCCTCGCTTGATTCTTTGTCTGGGCTGCTGTGTGGCGATCCTCCTGAGAATGATTGGAAAGGGGGACTGTGTGCTGATCTGTGTTTCTCTGCACCCACAGGTTCATGAGAAAGAAGTAATTGGCATCGCTCACCACCCACATGAGAATCTGATCGCCACATACAGCGAGGACGGCCTCCTGAGGCTATGGAAACCTTAAACTGTCACCTGCATTCCTAATATGGAGGATTACCCATGAGCACATTATAAACATGCTCACTGAGAAAACAAACTCTCCTTTAGGGGATGTTAGGTAGCTGTTCTGGAGCTTGATCATTTCACATCATCTTTAACAGTAGATAGATTTTTTTTTTAAATTTTTGTCATTAAGTTAAAGAGGCGGTGAAATGGTTAGCGACAAGGTTCCTGTTTTGAATTCTCCCTGTGCATGCGTGGGTTCCCTCCCACAGTCCAATGACATGCTCGTTAGGTTACTGGTGACTGGATAATTGGCCATAGGTGTGAATGTGTCAGCCCTGTGACTGACTGGTGAACAGTCGAGGGTGTACCCTGCCTATCGCTCAATGACAGCTGGAATCGGCTCCAGCTCCCCGAACGGGAAAACTCGGTATAATGGTTGACTAGATGGACGACGTTATAGTTTTGAACTTTTTTTTGTTGTTGTAGTTTTCCGGTCACGTGAAGGGCTTCTTTTTAGTGTTGGCTCAAAGTCTGAGGTGTCAGATTAAGTTTTGACCTTGGGGACAGTCGAATAGGAAACCATACATTTCTTGGCAAATTATCAAACTCCATCTGCGATGAAGATCATGCGTCATGACTGAAAGCAACGCAGCAGCGACTAAATGGATCCAAAGGGAACATCAGCAATGCATTTATATGATTGAAATTATTTGGAAAAACAAAACCCAAAACAAAAGGTCAAGTCAAAGGTAGCTGATGCAAAAACATTTAGCTTCATTGAGGAAAGTAAAAATACATGCAATTTGTAAATGAAAAAGTAAAGCAGACAAATATGTTAAGTCATATTTACAGCCTCTTGCATTTTAAAGACTGTCAAGGTTCAATAATTTCTTATTTTTAAGGAATCCACTGATAAGAATCCTACCAAACATACTACACAACCATGAAGATATTTAAAAAAAGCTCACAATTAAATATGTCAAAGCAGACGTTTAAACTCATTTGACAAGTATTTCAGTTTTTTATACACATTCTTTTTTCACTTTTTTATACATTTTATTTTTTGTACATGTTTTATTCATATAGGTATTTTTATTTATTACTTTACTGGGTCCTTGGTTCTCCAAACTGCCCACACTCTTCCTCATGGATCCAACTTCACCAGTGCACTTTGAATCCCCATTTTCATCTCTCGTGTCGGTATTAGACATGAAAATGCATGATGGTGAACTGTCGTGGAAATATTTATAATGTGCTTCTTGTTTGGGCATAAACAAACAATATCAGGTTTTTGAATTGCCAGCTTTGGTTTTATATGATGAACTTTTGTAAGGATTATTGAGCAATGATTCAGATGTATTGATCCGTTTTTGTCCTCTGTGCTCCCTGCATGCTAACTCGGTGCAGTTTAAGTGTGACTCTACAATAATTTGAGTATTCTTTAAAAATATGCATGACGGATTATGAATCTCTTTTGAGCTTCCTGTCAATGTACAATGTATTTAAAGCTGTCATATTATTGTCAGTGTGTTGCGTTGACTCTTATCTGTGTCCCTGTGCATCAGTAGGACATGTACTACGCCTGCAAGAAACAGAGCTATTGCCTTTTTATTTTTGTGCTACGCTGTATGGTACAAACGATCATCGATCTCTGTGCAGTCGTCCTCCCATCATCAAAATGTTAATTCATTACAATATATTTTATATATCCATCAAGTTGTACATAACACCGCCAGATGTTGAAATGATTATCAATAAAATTAAAAAGTTATTAATTTGTGTTTGTGTGCCACATTTGAAGGACTCTTTCACTTTAGTGTGACTTTTGGTTTCCTGAATGATGACATGAATGTTCTCAAGCTGTTGTAGCTTTAAATGACACATCCACAAAGTTCAGGAAATCAAACAATATTTAACTCTGGAAAACTGAAGGTGTTTAAAAAAACGGGAAGACATCTTGTTTAGTCAATGGTTTTATAAATCAATCCCAGATTTTATTTTTACAATTATATTTCAAATGAATCTTCTGATGGTATTACTTCGTTGTCACGCCTTTTTTTTTTTTTTTTTTTGATTAGGGCTTTGACTAACATCTATTTCATACAAAGGAATGAAGGAAGGAATTCTGGTATGAAACACATTTTCATCCTGTTAGTTAGATATGTATTATTGTAAGAATAAGCTGAAAATGGTCAGATTGTACCGGCATACCACAGAGACCTTTTTTAGATTTCACTTTGTTTTCACAGACGACAAAGAAAAAACATCAAGTACTCACATGTGGAGGCTGGAACCACTCTCGATTTTCAGGTATTATAATTACAAGTACTGGATTGATTAAATGATAGCCAAAACAGTCCATTATTTTTCTATGAATCATTTAATCTACGCCTTGTTAGAGTAGGTAACAGATCTAATATCCTGGGGCAGAAAGGGAGGGAGGGAAAACTATTTGAGCCACATTTCAGAAATTTTAGCCACAGTTTTTCATTTGAAACTTACTTTCTTGGATCAAAATTATTAAGCTTCACAGCAGAGCCGATATCCACGAAGACAACAACAGATTATTTTTAACTCTACCAACTCAACCAGTTTGACAATTTAACTGAAACTAGACTGTTGCCAAGCAACCCAACTATTCTCCTCTCTCCACTCTTGATACTCTGTTCGTATCCATGGTTACCGCAGCCCAGCTACTTTGTAGTCAATTAAAAGTATTCAGAACTCCTGGCTTAGGCGGAGTGATACAGAGTGTGAAAAGTCCAGGTGAAGTTGTTCTCCTTTATCGTCGCTCATTTAATGCCTCTTATCCAATCAGATTGCTTTAACATGCTATAAGATGCAGACCTTAAAATAAGTGTACTTCCTCATCACCTAAGCCAGATGAATTGTTGCATTTCAAGCTTTTTGTTTGAACTGTTAAGACATCTAGAGCAAAAGAAAGAAACTACTAAAAGTTCTAACCAATAATAATATAATAATAAACCTATTATGGTTATAACATGCACATTTTCTACTCTGCAATGTTTTAATGAGCAGCTCAGATTTAAAAACAATACGTACTGAGTAAAAACAAATATATAGAGACCATCAAACTGCATTTAATTAGAAAACAAAAACAAGTAGATGATTGGTCCTTATACGGGTACAGTCAAATAAAGAACTTGACAACACTTAATAGAGTCCAGACTCGTAAATTTGCATCGCTGAAAGAAATTCAGGAACCTTCTTTCTGTTGAGCATAGTTGTTTTAAAACATCCAAGGCAAACAAAATCAATATTAAAAAAAGAAGAACTGCATTATCGAGTAGCTTCAAGTGATATGATAAGGCTTTCAAACAGACAAGACTCTTCAATGAGGTATCAGCTGTGGTTTTTTGAAGTCCTAAATAACCTCTCATTGACGCATTTGGCATTTACAATAAGGACTATAAATGTGACACAGATGCACTCGTGAGCCAACATGAGCGAAAATCCTGCCAACAGGTTAATGTTTTTAGTTTGATTTAAGTTTAAACAGGCCAGAGAAACAACTGAACTCTTATTCTTCTAGATTTTAAAATCACAAACCCAAAAAAAAAAAAAATCATTTAAAAAAACATTCAACCTTAAAATCATCACAGGGACATAAGCCACTTTTTTTTCCTGTAAAACTTGGGAGCAACTTGACACTTTTTTTTTTTTTAAGAAGAAAGACAAACTTTTCTAGAGGACTTTTTTTATGAAGCACATCTGCTGAATTATGCTGATTACTAAAAATAAAAAATAAAAACACCTCAAATCTGGAACACAGAAAAATGCTAGGCAAAAACTCAGAGTTAAAATGTGAAATATTTTCTGCTGGCTCTACATTTTTAAGAAATGTGACTCCTCACTTATCTGTACCTTTTGCTTTAGTCCAAAACAAAGAAGTGTGGTGTATCGGTCAGTTGATTCGAAGTTCAAAGTTGAAGCACTGAACCTACTTTGAATATGTTTGAATAATCCTCTTTTTGGTGGCTTGAACCTTCACTCTGCCACACCTGAATCAGTATTACCTTTACCTCCGACTCACATTTACAAGATTCTTTAGAAATGTCTACAAAATAGCCCTTTAAAGGGTTACCCAGCTTAGATGATTAACTGAAGCCTGAATGCACATCTGCCTCAGCCACCATGTACAGGTTGAGTTCTCACAGACAACAGATTCAACAAGTGGTTCACAAAACAGCTTACTATGTAACAATGTAAAAAACAAAAGAAACGAAAAAAAAAAAAAAAGTTATTTTAAATTAATATTGGCATCATCTTCAGTGTATAAAAAGCAGGCGGTCTTTTCTTTCTTTCTTCTGAGGTCCCTGCAATACCAGCCGCGGTCTCTAATCACAGTGTGATTGGAATAACAAAAAATAAAATAAGATATTGTCCCACAGATGACATGTAGTGTCATTCTCCAGTCTAGCTCTATCCGAGCTGTTATGATAAATTAGAAGGGTGGTGGGACCCAGTTCTATGACTCTGCCTCAGAGTTAACTTAAAACAAGTAAACCGTTATGATTTTAAGAGAAGTAATTAAATTAAAAAAAAAAAAAAGTGCACAAACTTCCAGAAAGGTGCTTTGCTAAGAGATGATGAGGAGGGCTTCTGGAATGAGAAGAGCCCGGGTGATATTTTTAAGATGTCTGGCACTGAACGCCTCCAGTGCTGGCGTAGTCATCTTCGTCCATGTAGTAGTGCTGATGGTTTTGTCTCTTTCTGTTCTCAAAGTCACAGTCCTCGAGGTCGGCGTAGATGTAGAGGTCATCGTCCATGCTTTCAGGCTGCTCTGGGTCCAGCTTCTCTGGGAGGTAGTCCTCCAGCTCCTTCAGCTTGTTGTTCGGAAGAAAGTTGGCTTGTGGAAACACCACCTAAAGGAAAAAAAGACAAAAGATGTGATTACAACACACGTGTAACTGTTCTGCAATGTGATAGGTCAATTCACCATTCTGGTGTTCATAAGCAAAAAAATGTATTTCATCTTTTTGTTTGGTGGCATTTTATTAGAAAAGCAAGAGCAAATGTATCGGGGGGGTTTAGTGCTGGGTAGATAGAGTACAGACGGTTTTATTGGTGTGGGGATTGTGAGGTTTGTTATTGCAGGAAAGGAGAGGCACTTTTTAAGCATGCTGTGTGTGTGTGTGTGTGTGTGTGTGAGAATTATGTTGAATTATTAGATTTTTCAAAAGCATGTTTAAAAAAAAAAAGAATAAAAGTTAATAAAGGATTTTGAAAAAGTGTCTCACCGAGAAGTGAATGATTAGGCGCCCCTTCTCAAACGGTCTGCGATGCATTGGCATCCCTTCATTTGCGACGCACTTAGTGTCTCCAGGCTTGATCAATTCTCCTGCAAAAAGAAAGAACAAGAGTCTGGATCAAACCATGATCGAGTTGTTTTTAGGGTTGATCCTAGTGACTTATTTCCTAGTCTATTAAAAGGACATTTAAACTCGAACTAGCCTAGTCTAAATCTAGTGGGAAAACACTTTGTTTACAACTGTCTGTGGGCTCACGATCCAATCTGGTTTGCTGAGTGTGCAGTGCTAGAACCAGCAGTGATAGAACCAACAGCCTTCAGTCCTCCTTGCTGGTGAACATCCACATCCCTGTCCTAAATGTTTTTACGAATCAGCCAGTCCATATGCCAGTTTAATTTGACACAGCTACATACAACTTCATCAAAATACTGCCAGACACACTGCTCCTACGAGCTTGTTTATATGCAGGCAGTAGAGTCAGATGAGCCATCCACAGGCGCACAGCCCCGACTAGTGGTGAATGTCTGCATTACCGTTTGAGCACAGAATTTGAGCAGCATTGTAGACCAACATACAAAGCTACCAATAATCCATTAATCGACTTAAATTCACGTGCCGATAGCATGGGTGACGTCACTCGCTTACCTGGAGGTGAAGTGATGAGGAGAGTTCTGTTGTCTAGTGTCTGAACAGGTTTTTTGAATCCACACAGAGCTTCAACCAGCTGTAACTCCATTGACATGACCAGGTCCTCTCCTTTCCTGAAGGCAATGGTAAATTGGAGAAATGCAGGTGAGATTTACTGAGGCTCCAAGAAGTGTGGATTTACAAAACTGGGATTATTTTAGTTAAAATTGTGATTTATTTTATTTAAATTCAAACAGGGTTCACAGTAATGATCTAAAGTAAAGACGTCTACTGACCAGAAACAGAGTTACCATTTGTAACACTAACCACATTTAGGACTGTGCATATAGTGCTGGGCGATATATCGTGAAGCTCAATTCGATCGATATTAATTAATGCTTGATATGGAAAAGGGAACATCGATTTTACTTTTTAAACTACTTCAAAGTTTTCTTGTGATATTTCGTCGCTCCGTGAGATTTCATTTGCGCCGCGAGATTTCCGCGGCAGCATTTGTTGCGCGGAGACGAAAGGTTGGAGGAGACTCCACTCCTGCTACCGAGTAGCCTCGCTCTTGTAAGCGACCAACATGGAGGAGAAAAATGCGAGCGAAGCCGAATTACTTCCAAAAAAAAAGGCACACAAAGCAGGGCTCGACATTATAACTGGCCCGCTGGCCCGGATGAATGATTGACAGAGTCCGGGCCAGCTGATTGCACGTTCAATTGGCGGCTTCACTGCTGTCACTCCCGCGAGCGCTGGTTTTAAAACCAACAGATCCCGACAAAAGCCGAGCTAAAATCAGCATTCAAAGAGAAAAAAAATCACCGAAGAGTCGAGAGTGACAGCACGGCATGACGAAAACAGAACGGAAAAAAG